GAGTCGGGTCCGACTCGACGGCACATAATAACAACAACAACAGGGACCATATATAAAAAGACGCAGACATTTCTAATTTTATTAATGTTTTTATTACAGGTTCCCATTTCTTTTTTAAATCATAATTTGAAGCAAGAAAACAAGGAGCTGAAGTGATTTCTTTTTGTCCCACCCTCTTACTTTGGCCCACAGTCCTTTCCTCCACTATCACTGAATCAGCTCTTGGTGGGAAAAGGAAAAGGAGTTAGAGAGAGAACCGAGAAAACTGAGAGAAGAAAAGGAGGAGGAACTTACCGTTTTAGAATTCTGTGGTTTATATACACTTAGAAGTGAAACATTGCTAAAAGATAAACCATGAGTACCTATTATTTGCAATCTTGCTACCATTACTGAATATTTCAATGAAAGATTCTATAGAACAAAAATCAAAAGAGAGAAAAAGTAGAATAGAATTTCAAATTCTTCAGACTTTCTGGAGGCATGGAAGCATTATGAACCCCTGAAACTACTGTTCTGAGATAATCTTTGAACTTTGAAAACAAAAATACCCTATGAAGTCTTCTTTAAAGCAAACAACAGTTGAGCTTAACTAATAATTCTTGAGAATTACGTTCTTTCAAAATATGCCAATTTGATCTATATGGATCAAATTGAGTACAGCAACTTGAAAGATTAGATTGGAAACTTAGGGGGAAGTGAGTTTATGGAATGGAGGAGAAACAACTCATGAAATGAGGGTGGGTCTTTGAATTTTGTCTTTCTCTGCTTCCTAAGGTCAGCTAGTATTGCATGAAATTTTAAGGAAAGAGATATGAGGAAGTTTCCTTTCAGAATTTCCTAGGCCAAACTGTAAGTGTTTGGAAGTTTCCCTATACTTTCTTATATATTCCTGAAGTTCTTCTTCGTACAAACCAAAACCAAACCAAACCCAGTGCCATCGAGTCTCTTCTGGCTCATAGTGACCCTTAGGACAGAGTGCAACTGCCCCCATAGGGTTTCCAAAGCTGAAAACTTTCAAGGAGGCAGAGTGCCTTATTTTTCTCCTGTAGAGCAGCTGTTAGATTTGATCCACTGACCTTTTGGTTAGCAACCAAATGCTTTAATCACTATACCACCAGACCTCCTGTTGTACATACAGTATGAGCTACTCAATTGTCAGAATAAGTCTTCAAAAATGGTTACAGTGAACCTATTAAAGTTATAGACATCTAAATTTTATCAAAATTTACAATCTTGATAAGATGAAATGACCCTCTCTCTAATGCATTTATTTATTTGGAACTACTCTTTGAAGTAAACCTTTCTACCTAAAGTTATATTAATCAAGTTCTCCATTAAGAATAGAAAAATTTTTTTCAATTTTGCAATTTTAGAACAAGCTCTAACCAAGGAGAAGGCTAGACTTAAAAGCTGCTCGGTAGGACATAGATACTTTAAAGAGGATGATTGTAGCCAAATGTTTGTAGGAATCAATTAATTATCAGGGACAAGTTCAAACCTCCAGTCTGATCTTGTGCTCAAATCTGCAATGTCATTTTTTTTTTAAATCTTTGATCCAGTACTAATGTGACAGGATTCTGTTTAACTATGAAGTCAAATTTTGGTAGTTTTTTTATAACTTCACTCTTAATGCTTTCAGAGCACTTTGTGCATTTATCACAATGTGTCAAAATGTGGCTCTCATCAATTTTTTAGAAGTTATATGATTAGAATGATAAAGATTTGATTAAAACCTTGAGTCAAACTTCTTGTTATGTGGCCTAAGGTGGCATTAAATCAATATGATGCCCCATTAGAGTAAGTGATGTTTGTGTTGCGAGAATTAGCAAGAGTATCCCATCACTCAGTCCTAACCTGCAGCCTAACAGGGAGAGAGGTCAGGAAAGCATTGGGAAGGGAGGGAATGTTGAGGCCATGAGAGAGCCTCCCCCGACTTTTCTCTTCCCATTGCTCTGTTATTCATTCCCCATCAGATCTTGAGGTGAATGATAAAGAGATTATTATGCCTGCAGAGCATATGACTGAAAATCAGCCTATACAAGATTAATGTAATTACTATGTTGATTTCCAGATGTTAGTTTAATGGTAGCCTATTAAAACCTCTAAAGATGAAGCTTAAAACAAACAAACATTTGGAGTAAATAAACATCCAAATAAAGGCATGCTGCAAATGTAGTAATAATCTGAAGCAATGGTAAAAATCTCCAGACAGGAAATTTTAGAAATTCGTTCCAGCCATCACTGACTGGGCTGACAGTCTGAATTTCCTCACCCCCTATTCAGTGTTTTCTTTCTCAAGAGCCTACACATCTCCTTGCTACTCCTAGTCCTTGGCCACTTTCCATTTGTGTCTTTCCCATTCCCATTCCCATTCCCATTTCCCCCACCAACGTCCATGACCATACCCCTTGGCTTCATTGCTTACTGAACTTTGCAATAACAGGGTTGCTTTACTATTCAGCACTTTGAAATTCAAGGAAAAACCCTCCTTTTTAAAATCAGGACACATGTAGACCTCTTTCCTCCCCAGACCACTCTCCCTGTTAGGATGCAGGTTAGGACTGAGAGACGTATGCTCTTGCTTATTCTCCCAACATAAACATCACTTATCTTGTGTCTTCCCTCCAGTCTCCTGACTGCCCTGAGCCTCGCTGACGAGGGTGGGTGGGGCCCGAAGGCTCACCAGTTGCTGTGGAATGGACTCTGTCTAATAGCAACCCCATGAACGGCACAGTAGAACTATACTCCAGAGGGTTCTCACTGGCTGATACTTCAGAAGTAGATTGCCAGAACTTTCTTTCTTCTGAGGTATTTCTAGGTGGACTCAAACCTTCAACCTTTTAGTCAGCAGTCAAGTATGTGACTATTTGCACCACCCAGGGCTCCTGGAGGCACATAGTTCTGGGTTAGAATGTGCCACTACCACTTTCTAATTCTATAGACCTGAGCAGGTTCCGGAGGCTGACTAAGTCTCAATTTTCTCACTTATAAAATTTTGGATAACACCTAATAATACCTATTTCCTCAGATGGAAAGAATAAAAGAGATAATTCACATACACAATGGCTGGAACATTATAAAGGCTCAATAGAAAGTATTATGATAATTATTAATTGTATCTTTTTCTTCATTTAGGTTTTTAAGCTTTTCTGATCTCTACCTGTAACTGTGAAATTACTCTCTGCTTCTTAGACTAGATTGATTTTCTTCTTCCCCAATGCAGGTTTTTATTAAATCCCTGGACCACCAGAAAGTAAGATGGATAAGACCTTAAAGACTAGTAACAATTCATCCCCTAGTTGTCTAAACTGCTTGGTTCTAAAAATTGCTAGAAAAGATAAATTTAAATTTATCATCTTCTCTCTCTCTTTTTTTGGTGATCTTAGAGTTTTGCCAAATTGTTCTTAGTATAATCCTGATACTCTTAATTATATGCTTTACTAGACTAAAAACTTTTATGTTTTTAGTATTGATTCATGCTTACACCAAGTGATTTTGAAGTCAAACTGCATAGCTTGCTTTTCCTGAAATGGCCAAGCTACACATTCCTCATGATAACAGTCTCTCATAAGTGATTTTGTAATTATATATTTCCCCATTTCCTCACTTCCTCCAGCCTCTGCTTGGATTGAGGCACCAGTGGTGAAATCAAAATTATTAGTTTTCTTATCACTCTGAGGAAAAATAGCTGAGATGCAATATCTATGTTGCTGGTCATCCTCAGTAGTGTTAGTACCTGGTTTTCAGTTGTTATTTTATTCTTAAAGTAATTTAGTTTGTTGTTGTTATGTGCCATTGAGGTGGTATCACTACGGATGTAGATTGCCCAACCTTCCTTCCGAGGAGTGGCTGGTGGGTTTGAACCGCCAGCCTTCTGGTTAGCAGTCAAGTGCCTTAGGCACTATGCTACCAAACTGAAAAGACAAGCACCAATAGCACCAAGTTTTGGGAAATAAATGAAATTAACTTCTTCAACACTTTAAAGCAAATCCAAAATTAAATTAGAATTCAATCCCACCTTGCTCATTTTTATCCTCATCTTAGATAAAACCTAGGTCTGGCAACATTATTATATATTAAGCAACATTATTCTGGACAGTAATCCAAATAGGAAAATCCAAATAGGAAATGTAAAAATTAGATGCTGATAAACAGCTCTTATAAAAGTTTTTAAAGACTATGACTATTAAGATTGACATATACAGCTATACATGGTATCTTTATTTATCCTTAGGACATATAATTATCTCAAAACTTATTAATAATTATTTTACAATTGCATATTTTACAGTCAACAATTGCCATTAGGAGAAATTCTTGGCTATTTTTGGTCTATACATAAAAGTGTTTACACCAGTTTCAGTGGCATAAGCATGAAGATCTTAAGAGTACCTTCAAGGGATACACTCCAAGCAATTTCAACTGCAACAGCCCCTTCAAAGTTGTCTCTGCTCTGACTCTTGAAGTGGCCACTCAGGGATTGTTTTATTGCTTTAGTTATTTTGCGTTTCCACAGAAGACCTTGCCTGACTATTTGTGATTCTTTTCTTTCTTTTCTCCTGTGCTATTTACTATAGTTGGTCTTGTTTACTAATTATATCTTTCTTGTGTCACTTCCCTAAAGAACATATATATGTCTGCAATTCCTTTGGATTTCTCAGGCTAGCATTATTTAGGACATATACATTAGGTCTGTTTCAGGTTCTAGAGAAACAGATTCACTGAGAGGTACGTGGAATGTTAATAAGAATTGAAATAGTGAGCAATTATACATTTCTGCCTATGCAAATACTAACTTCTCTCTGAATTAACACAATTTATTCTTCGTTTTGATTTACTCATTTATTTTGTTTACTGCATCACTGCTAAATAGAAATGTGAAACTTGGGAATTTTAACTGTCTAACTGATGCTATAAGTGACATAAAGTTACTGGCTGTGGCTCTCATTGTTCTGTTTCTAAAAGAGAAAACAAGCCATGTCTTTGACGTTTCTGCTTACCTTGTCTGACAGCTAGTGTGGTGGTATAGACCAAGAAGAGAAGAATATAATTGAGGAAACTCTGGAAGACTGGAGTATTGGCATGGAAATCTTCTGACAGGTACTTGCTGGTCAAGCCAATCCCACAAATCAGGAGGGATAACACCTGGCCTAGAGCCACTGAGATCAACATCTCCCTGAGAAATAAAGAGAAACACAGCAAAGATCAGCAGGAAGTCCTTTAAAACAATAACCATTAAAATTTATTGAGCATTTGTGCTGTGCACTGGGCCAAGTGCAATAAATGTTATTTCTTTTAATCCATTACAGCAACCCTTTGAGGAAGGTGCAATTATTACTGAAGTTTTACAGAGAAGGAAACCAAAACTTAAAGGGGTTAAGGAGGTTGCCCACAGTCACATAGCTAGGAAATGGTAAAATTGAGATTTAGCCCAAATCTCTCCAATTGAACCCGGCTTTTAGCCTCTGCACCTTGTGCTCTGTGAAAGAAATTAATATTATGTGATGCTCACCATTATTAATAAAGTATTTAGTGACACCAAGAAAGTATATGAACACTGAACAAGATAGATCTTATTCAGGCTTCATCCTCAGGTACTTCTACCAATAAAGATTATTTCCAGGCCATCTAAGATGCAACTATTAGTCTCCCCTCGTCTGAAGCAAAGAAGAGTGAAGAAAATAAAAGTCATTTGGAAACAGTTAATTCAAGGGTCTGGTGGACCATGGGAACCTCAGCCTTTATAACCCTGGGACCAGAACAACTAGATGGTGCCCTGCTACCAATGCCAATCACTCAGAAAGGGATCAAAATTGGAGATCCTGGATAGAGTGGGAGGAAAAATGTGGAACAAAATTCAAAAACACCAAAATGACCAGAATTACTGGTCAGATAGAGACTGGTGAAACTCCGAGACTATGGCCCCAGGTTATCCTTCGGGCCTGGAACTGGCCTCACTTCTGTAGATTAGCTGTCGGCCAAACAGTTAGAAAGGCCTATGAGCAGAACACCTACCCTGCGGAGATCCACCCACCTATAGCAGGGAGATGCACCCCTGAGATCAATCAACCATGAGAAATCAGAAGGGTAGTATTTGCATAGGGGGGAAACTGGACAGACACAAATACATAGATAAGAACACAAGGAAGGGATAGTCACAGGGAGGAGATGGGAGGAGAGCTGTTTATTGTTGGGATTGTAATCTGTGCAGTAAAACAAAATGTGCACGAACTGTTGAGGATAAAATAAATCTGTTTTGTAAATCTGTACCCAAATCACAATAAAAAATTAGAAACAACAAAAAAGATTATTTCCTTTATCCAAGGAGCCCTGATGGTGCAATGGTAGGCACCTGGCTGCTAACTGAAAGGTCAGCAGTTTGACCCACCAGCCACTCTAGGGGAGAAAGACGTGGCTCTCTGCTTTGTAAAGATGACAGCCTTGGAAGCCCTAGGGAGCAGTTCTACTCTGACCTGTAGGGTTGCTATGAGTTGGAGTCAGCTCCACAGCAATGAGTACGGCATTTTCTGTATTCAGCGATGGTTCAGTAGTAGAATTCTCACCTTTCATGCAGAAGACCTGGGTTGGATTTCCAGTGCAACTCTAGCGCAACAACAGCTTATCTGTTAGTGGAGGCTTGTATGTAACTATGATACTGAACAGTTTTCACCAGTGCCTCCAGACTAAGGTAGACTAGAAAGAGAGGTCTGGTGATGCACATTAAAAAAATAGCAAATGATAACTCTATGGATCACAATGATTTGGATCCCGTTGTACATGGTGTCATCATGAGTTGGGGTCTACTCAATGGCAGCTAAAAACATTTCTCTTATCCACCACCCATCTGTCAGTCTGTTGTACTGCAGTGGCTTGCATGTTATGATGCTGGAAGCTATGCCTTTGGTATTTCAAATACCACCAGGGTCATCCATAGTAGACAGGTTCCAACAGAGCTTCCAGGCTGACAAGCTAGGAAGACACCTGGCTAGCTATGTCTGAAAATTAGTCAATGAAAACCTTATGGGTCACAACAGAATATTGCCTGATATAGTGCCTGAAGATGGAGCAGGACTGGGCAATGTTTCATTCTGTTATATATAAGGTCACCATGAATTGGAGCTGAACTGACAGCAACTAACAGCAACAACACTTCCTTTATAGTTTGAAATCCCGGAACCAGGAATCCTTAGGTAAAGGGGCGATACACATCCCTGAAAATCCATGTTCCGTCTATTCTGAGATTTTGGATCTTAGTTCATTCTAGAAAAGTTAATAAGCATTGGTCTTCCCTCTCCTTTGTTCAAGTTACAATTATCTGCATATCAATATGGTCATTTATAAAGGAAATTAAGTGATTAGGTAGTGTGAAAAAACATTTCAGATTATATCAATTTTTCGTGTGGCTTTTTCATGGGCACTGCCCTTGTCGATCACTACAGTGAGCATAGAGGCAAGAGGGGCCAAGGGGTTACATTTCAAAGGAATAAAATGCCTACCTGAGCTTTATGGTTACGTATGTGCATGCTCAACACACACTGACCTAGGAATGGCCCTGGAAAAAACAAAGCAGGCTCTGTCCTCCCTGAAAATCTCATCTGACTTTCCTGATTTATTTATAGAAACAGACATATAAAATAAGCCAGCAACAGTATTTCTAAACAAAAAGGCTTTAAGTAGAGGATTTGTAAGTATTATATACTACCCCCTTCATATCAGATGGGAGTCCATCTTTCTGGAAAAAGCACAGAGATCTGGGAAGTGGCTCGTGGTGTTTTGTTTTTTTGAAAAAGGCATGAGGAGGAGAAGAATCTGGGCCAATGAGATTTCTCTGAGGTTAACCAAGCATATACTGTTGTAGGATTCTCATTGGTTGCCTTGTTTCCAGGCATTGACACCCAACACCTGACTTCAATCTCTATAAAGGATTCAAAGAGATGTTTTTAGACATATATATTAAAATGCCAGTTTGCTGCTTACATGTTCCCTATAGAATTCAGTGCTTTTTAAGGCCTGTGGTAAACTTTTTACAAGTGATTGCCAACAAACCCTCCCATCCTTTGACATTTATGTTGCTTCTCCGAAAGGGAGGTGGGATCCATTTCTCCTCTTCTTGAAGCTGAACTGCTCTTCTGATTTGCTTTGACCAACAGAATGTAGGGCAAGTGATGCCACGTGACTTCTGGATCCAAGCCTTAAGAAGCCATTCAGCTTCCATTTTATGCCCTCTTAGGATCCAGCTTCTATGTAAAGAAACCTGAGCAAACCTACTGAATACTGGAGAGACCACGGAGAAACAGAAAGGGAGACCCAACCAACTATGGACCCTTCAGCTAAAGTGCCAGGCATATGAGTGACATCTTTGGATCCTCCAGCCCCAGTCAAGCTGTGTCATCTTATACTACATGGACAAGAGATACACTATACCCAGGGATTCTTGCCCAATTGGAGAATTCTGAGAAACAATAAATGGCTGTTGTTTTAGGACCAGAAAGTTTGTGGTGGTTTGTTATGTAGAAATAGATAACTGAAATGAAACCTTTAATATTCTCCCCTTATCACACTACTGCTGGAGCTTCTCCCATGTTTGCCCCCTATGATTCCCTCACAGATCCCAAGCTCCAGTCTTACAGACCTACTTGCACTTCAGTGAGTCATGGTCTTCTTTGCCTGCAATCCTTAGAACATGTTATTATTTCCAGAATGTTCAATCTTCCTCTGTCAGTCTAATTCCCATTCATCCTTCAAGATTCAGCTTCTATGTCACCCCTCTGAGGAGTCTTCTCTACCCTCTCTTCCTTGGGGTGCTTCTTCTTTATTACTCCTATCTCACTGGATTGTAACAACTACTTTTACATTCTTTTGCTCTCTGCCAAAGGAGTCCTGGTGGTGCAATGGTTAAGCATAGGCTGCTAACCAAAAGACTGGCCATTAGAACCCACCCACCCAAGGGTTCCATAGAAGAAAGACCTGCAATTATATTCCTGCAAAGTTTACAGCCTAGAAAACTTTAGGGGCAGTTCTACTGTGTCACATGGGGTCTCTCTGAGTCAAAATCCATTCCATGGCACCTAACAACAGCAACAACAATCCCTCTGCCAGATGTAAAGCTTATACAATATTCCTCAGTGTATCTACAATGGGGAATACCATTTGACAAAAGCAGAACATAGAAAGATTCAAAGGCAGGGCAAAGGTAGGACTAGGTAACATTGAACAGTTTATTGGAATGAAAGGGTGATAAAGGAAAGAATGGGAGAGGTAAAAAGAAGTACCAGGGTTAATTCAAAGCATTGTGTGTATGTGTGTGTGTGTGTGTGTGTGTGTGGCTACCAAAAGGAAGTATAATATCCACTGACAAAAATTATGATAAGGAGAGTCTTTTTAAAGTGGAAAAATAATAAATGTTTCAGGTACACTGATGTGAGCTGTGAGAAGAACTTCCAAATGATCCAGTAGTATTAGAACATGGGGTTAGAGTTTGATAGGTAGGTCACCCAAAAGATAAATATGTGAAAGTTATATGCATGAAAGTTATGGTTACAGTACTGGAAGTGGATGATATCACCAAGGAAAAAAAAGTAAAAAAGAAAAGAAGAGGTTCTGGAAATAATCCTCTGACGAATTCCAAGGAGGGATGAAAGGATACCAGTGGAGTTAGAAGTGGTTAGTGGAGTAAGAGAAGGACAAGAATAGTTCTTGGTGCCAAGGAAGCCAAGGGAACAGAGACTTTCATGGAAGGAAAAGTTGAAACAATGAATGTTACTTCAAGGGTAGTGAGATTGAGGATCTACAAGAAGTGATCTGGAAGTCACTGCCAGCATTTTAATGAATGCTTTTGTTGAATGGAGAACATCAAAGCAATATGATATCATGGAAACCAAGGAAACAAAGAATTTCATGGAAAGTATAGTTAGTGGTGACAATATGGATAGAAAGTGGTAAGGAAATAAATGTGTTGATTTTGAAAAAATGTGAAGAGTTCAAATAATTCTTTCAAGAAATTTTATTTAGTCACCATATAACACAATAATAACAATTAAAAGAAAAATGTTTAAAATTATTAAAAAATAAATTTAGAAGCTTAATGATTATTCCGTAAGTGGCTTGCTCTTGATTATTGGCATAGATTTAGATCCTTAACTGGAAGAGATGGGTACAGTAACAGCCAATATGTCA